CGCCACCGCAGTTTGTCCTTCATGAGCCTTCGTAGACAAGATGGCGGTGCAAGATGGCGGCTGCCTGTAGTGGTGACCTGCGACCATGGAGATATAAACAGCTTTTTATAAGGTAAAAATAATAAAACAAGGTCTTTGTCTGCAATGATTAGACATGTTTTTTATTATTGTCATTAGTGATTATCTCAGTTTCGACTAAAAGAATTGACAAAATCATACACACTGTGCTTTTAAACATGACTTTGAACGTATGAAGTCTTTAAAGCTTCTTCTCTCCTGTTTTTCATTTTTTATATGTATTTATTTAGCTTAAACCCAGATCCCACAGAGAGACACACCTTCTGGACTCTGGGTGTTGGTGGAGTTTTCCTCATGCTGTCTCTGTATGGGGTGAACCAGGCTCAGGTCCAAAGGTACCTGAGCTCTCGTACAGAGAGAGACGCTGTCAGGTACGGARCCCACGGCACCTTCACTGGCTTTTACAATGAGCTCAGGCTAAATATGAAGCTAACTTTCATCTTTTCCTAAATATTTAGAAAGAAAGTCCTGTGAGAATCCAGATCTGTATTTAGCACATGCACAGTTTGTGCACCAGAGGGCACTCACTTGTCAAACAGCAGATATACGCCTGATGAGACTTTTACCACCCACAGTCTAGAGACAGAAAATAATGGTTTTGCCTGAGTCTTTGCGTTCATGTCTGTTTGTAAAACAAGTCATGCAGCACTGGATGGAATTTAAAAACACTGTGTAAAAGTATCTTTAGACAAATTCTACAACTAAACAGCTTTTGTAGTCAGTCCAATTCAAGACGGCTGCCTTATCAATCGAACTTAGTCAACAGAAAACTGGCTCTGACTCGGTCAGTTGTACAGATATTGTGTGATTGCATTTCTTCAGGGAGTTCTGATTTCATTTTATATGCAGACATTTAAAGCTCTTAAGAAAAGAACACATATTTGAACATATTGTAAGGCTATTTTCTTTAAAAGAACATGTGGTAAAGACGTGCTGGTGCCTGCAGGTCGTGCTACATGGTCTTCCCGTCTCTGCAGCTGGCTCTGGCTCTGAGCTGCATCATGGGCCTGGTCATGTTTGCTCAGTACTGTGGAGAGGACCACGCTGACAAACTGAAGAGCTCCTCCAGGGACGCAGTAAGTTACAGTGTGCTACTTTTTGTTTTGTAATTCTTTTAAGCAGCATTTATCACCAAACACAGTTTATTACAAAATCTTTTAAAGTTTTCAGTAAGTTTTGTATCAAATATATATATA